ATGTCATTAGGAAAACACAATTTGAAGATTCGAATCCCAGAATAATAGAACGAAAAAAAATTCAATTACATAGCTCACTTAAAACATACACATAAATTTTTAAAAAGTGGGAAAATTCCCGCTAAAATTTCGACAGAAAAAGTCTTCCATTACTATTAAAAAATAATTCATATTTTTAACTATACATTCTCCATCAATTTAAATTTTTGTATAATATTATTTTATTGAAAAATGTGTGTTTGAAATAAAAAATGAGAAAATGCATTTTAAAAATAGGAATAGAGATCAAATAAGAACTAATGGTAGTTTAGGAACCGTAGATTAGATCCTCGACATTTTATCTTTTTTTTTTTTTGAATCAACGTTAAAGTCGGTTTCTAAAACACTGAATATTATAGGACTATGACTACATTGTTTTATTTGAAGAGATTCTCGTTATTTTCATTGTTTATTTTTCTTGATGTGAATTTCTTGGCAAAGCAGAAGAAAATTATAAAAGAAAGTTAGGTGAGAATTTGCATTTGGGGGAGACAAGAAACTGTGTTTGGCGCCTAACGGTAACAGGCAGAACAGCATCTCCCACGTACCAATAATGTGTCCGCTACGGTCAAATGCCGGTGCAAATCCGAGACACGTGTTGAGCCAGTTCCATCCAGATTAGCCCTAGTTATAAAGATTGACCGTCCAATAAGGACCTCGTGATTCGATCCTTGACATGAATAGTTATAGTTGACTTTTTGCTCCAATCCCAACAAGCAACCATTTCTATTCCTAAACCTAATTAAGCTTCATCTTTAATTTAATCACGCAATCTATGTAACGTGTTACTTCGTTTAGTTTAATGATAATTCGTACAAGTGTATCGAACCATAAAAAAAAAAAAATTTAGTTTAGTCATTCCTTTTTAGTATTGATAAAATATATCAATTTTTCTTGTACTGATTCATTAGGTAATATTTTTTCAGATCAAGGATTCGAAGAGCTTCCTCACCTCTGCGCCCCTTTCATAGGAGAAAAGTTTCGACATAATATTTAGCTAATGAAACAAGCTTAGACGACTTTAGTGTTGCGTATGTATTTAGTGATTCTCCAAGAAAATATGTTGATCTAGCATAAATCATTGAAGGGTTTCATTTAATTCAACATTTATGGCTACAAATTGTTGAAAAATCATGTTCAATAAGTGGCATACATTAATTATTTGTTTTTGGTCGAGTACCGAAGGAGACATCCACTTAAACTTGGAAACTATATTAATTTTAAGTCTCTGTTTGGTTCAGTTAAAAAATTGAATTAAAATCAAATAAAAGTCAACAATTAATTTTAAACACAAATTTCATAAAACTTTATCAAAATCTACTAAAAATCTGATTTTTATTCAAACCAGACATGTGCTAACTATATTCTAAATAGTTAATATATAGAATAATTAATTGTTTTTAGTTTAGTCATTCCTTTTTAGTATTGATAAAATATATCAATTTTTCTTGTACTGATTCATTAGGTAATATTTTTTCAGATCAAGGATTCGAAGAGCTTCCTCACCTCTGCGCCCCTTTCATAGAAGAAAAGTTTCGACATAATATTTAGCTAATGAAACAAGCTTAGACGACTTTAGTGATGCGTATGTATTTAGTGATTCTCCAAGAAAATATGTTGATCTAGCATAAATCATTGAAGGGTTTCATTTAATTCAACATTTATGGCTACAAATTGTTGAAAAATCATGTTCAATAAGTGGCATACATTAACCATTTGTTTTTGGTCGAGTACTGAAGGAGACAGTCACTTAAACTTGGGAAACTATATTAATTTTAAGTCTGTGTTTGGTTCAGCTAAAAAATTGAATTAAAATCAAATAAAAGTTAACAATTAATTTTAAACACAAATTTCATAAAATTTTATCAAAATCTACTAAAAATCTGATTTTTATTCAAACCAGACATGTGCTAACTATATTCTAAATACTTAATATATAGAATAATTAATTGTTTACTAAAAATCTGATTTTTATTCAAACCAGACATGTGCTAACTATATTATAAATAGTTAATATATAGAAGAATTAATTGTTAAGAACAAAATTAGTACTAATAGGTTGTTTAAAAAAGGGTTTAGTGATGATCAATGACACCGTTCTTGATTGATGAAGTTAGCATTTTCAAACCTTCTTTACAAAGTGGGGTCGGTAGTTGCATTCAAAGATGATAATTTCTACCTTTGCTCGCAGTCTCCCACCTTGAAAATAAATAACATAGACCTCAATCAAAATCAGCTTTCTTCTCAAAAGCTTAAATAAAGAAACCTCAACAAACAAATCTCTTATTCTTATTCCTGCTCTTTCTTCTCTAATCATGTCTGAAGAATTCAGAGATCTTTACTACCGCCAACCATTTCACGATGATGATCGGACTGGTGGCGAGAATTCTTCTACGTATACTCAGAATCTGCGAATGTTTGATCATTCTTCATACGTGGGGTTTGGGGAGTTTTTGCATGGATCCACTGAACATAACACACTTGCAAGACCTTTCGGCGCCATGACCTCGTCAACCTCCGTGGCACCGGTGATGGACGGTGGAGGTGGAGATCATGTGGGTGGTAGTGTAACTCCAGCTACACCCAATTCTTCCATCTCATCCTCCTCTACGGAGGCGGCCGGTGATGAAGATTCAAACAAGAGTAAGAAAGAGAATCAACAGAAGGAGACTGTTGAAGATGGAGAAAACAGCTCCAAGAAAAAGTAAGTTTAGTGTATCTTCATAATTATTATTTTAGCATGTTCGAGACACAAGTATGAACAAGAATTTATCTCATTAGGTCGAGATACAGGTCTAAAAATCCCGTCTAAGCTTTAATAATTTAAATTTCAATTAAAAAATAAAAATAAATAAATTACGCACTTCGTTGTTTATTTCTCATGGAATTTAATTGATGCTTATGTTAAATTTAGGGCTAAGGCGAAGAAGAAAGGAGAGAAGAAGAAGCAACGGGAGCCTCGATTTGCTTTCATGACAAAGAGTGAGGTTGATCATTTAGAAGATGGATATAGATGGAGAAAATATGGACAGAAGGCTGTGAAGAATAGCCCTTATCCAAGGTGTGATTCCTTTGATTCATATTAAATTGAGCAGTACTGAGTTTAATTTGATGCTAAATCATGCATGTACAAGTAGTCAAACTTTAAGAAATATTAATTTTACTCGAATTAAGTTATTTCACTTTTATTTTAAGTATTCTTGTTCATTTCTACATATATATCTTCATTTCAATAGGATAATTGTCTCTACATGTATTTGTCAAATCTCAAACCGTGTAAACATGAGTGAAACTTAAGAAGAATGTTCCAAGTCACGTGTCACACGAGACAGGACAAGCTATAAAGCTTCTATGCTAAAGCAAAAGGGTCCTTCCGATTTTTTTGAAATTGAGTAGATTAGAAATGAGGTTTTTGAATTAAGTCTTTCGTCGTCTTACATTAAAGGGTTTTCCGCAATATTCACATTTACAAATTGAGATGTGTGCCCTTCAAAAGAATGCATGTAATATCACTGCTTAAGCGAAAGCTTAAGTGAATTGACCTGAATAAGCCATGCACTTGGATCTTTCACATGATAATTTCCATCATGAGATTTAAAGCATGTTTGATGTAGATTTTTTAAGAATAATTTTTTTTTTAAGAATGTATGGCTAAAAGTAGGAAAAAGTTGCAGGTCTCCGTGCAAAATTATTTTATTGTAAGAAGGTGCGATTAAAATGAGTTCGAAAAATGAGATTTAAAGAATCTGTGACAAACAAGGGCAGTATCATATATTTCTATCTTGATTAATGCAGAAGCTACTATAGATGCACAACTCAAAAATGCTCCGTGAAGAAACGTGTTGAGAGATCATTTCAAGATCCATCAATTGTAATCACAACGTATGACGGTCAACACAACCACCTTGTACCGGCAACATCCAGAGGAAATGCCGGAATGTTTCCTCCTTGTTCTATGCTAACACCATCAATACCACTGCAGGAAGGGACCAGTTTTCCTGCACAATTGTTACAGCTTCATCAAATGAGTAATGGTCATCTCTACAATTATGGCAGTGTGAATAATGTCTATGATCATCAAAATTTAACTACACCGCAGCAGCCTCGACCTCAACTTCCTGAATATGGGCTTTTGCAAGATATGATTCCCTCTTTTTTCCCCAAACAGGAGCCTTGAACAAGTTTCATTATTTAAGCTTATGTCTTTTGTTCTTTGTTTTTTTATGCTTTGATGTCATACTTTCATACTCTGATTTTGAGTAAAAAAAATCCCCTACTTATAATGTGATGTCAAATATTAAAAACGAGTATGTACTATTTTATCGACACAAACTTAAACTTTTAGACGATATGAACTTACAAATGGTTTAACATGAGACAGTTTTTTAAGAGGAAATGACTTTATCTTGTACATATACATTTTTACACTTTTAAAGGAGATTTTCCATTCTTCTTTTAGCCCTGTCTAGTTTAGTTAAATCAAATTTTCAGTATATTTTGAAAAAAAGTTAATTATATGTGAGATTGAAAAAGTTCATAAATTTGTGGGATGCATGAAATGTATGATTAAAATTAAATATTGAATTTGACATAGATTTTTATCAACTTTTTTGACTAAATCAAACTTAATTATAAATTGTTGAACAAATTGGCAAAATCAGTCAAATGAAATGCAGTTATAATGAAAGGGTTGCAAAGTCAGTTCAATCCACCCCCC